TTTCCCTCATCACTTGAAAGCTAATACTCCTCGTTTGTGTGCTTTTTCAGTGTATCTTGTGTTATCGCCCATCTCTTTAATAACATCCTACTCAGTGAAGTAGATCATTCCCGTGGTTGTGCGATCTAATTTAATATGCCCAAATCTGGGACACTTGAAATACTTTCTGGCTGGGATAGATTTATGAATATTGTTTCACTCCACATGTTCTCTACTCTGAATCAATATCTTCTCAGGCAGGGTTGACTTGGTTGTTCCCCTTGGTGTATGTCGGCCGTTTTTTAACTTCGTGATTTGAAAAAGTGATCATTTTGTGATTTTGAAAATAATTTAAATATGAATGTAATATTTTTGATTTTTAAAAGTAACATTTTAATTTTAAAATAGGTGAGACCAAACGAGTCTCATATTTTAAATAATTTAGATGATTGAATACAATACTACAAGTAATACACTTATCCCGAAGAATAAATATATCACTTGTAATGAGGATTCAATCACCTAGACTAAAGAATTTGTGACATCCGTTTTGATCTGCGAAATATTTTATAAAAAAAAAAGGCCAACAAGTTCCCCTACCTAATACGAGGATTAGATATGGTTTATTTTATCTGAGTTTCAGATTCCCTATAGAGGCAAACCCCTATAATTAATTGCATCTCAAATGACTGAGAGTCATTTAAGAAAACTCTCGATTAAGATCAGGTGATCTTGCCTTCAAGATTTCAAAGTTTAGGTTTTCAAGATTGAACATGGGAAAATCAAATGAGAATGACTTAAAATAGGAACAATTATTTAAGAAATCCGAAAGGAAGAAAAGTAGGGGATATCACAAATCCGGGGAAAATCCCGGTGAACTTCCAACTATCCTATTGTTTGACTTTATTTTTTTGAAATAATTTAATTTTGATATTTCAATCCTGCAAATTATTTAGAGTTTAGGACTTATGTTTACACAATATCAGACTGTGCAAATAGCCTAAAAAGATAGGAGGATTTACACCGTACCGCACGATAACCTCAAAATCCTAAAACGTTAGGACTTATAATTGTACAACAGAGTTGTACAAAAAGCCTAAAGAGCGATCCTATGAGTTGTTATTTAAACTAAAGAAGGTGATAGGTGATGTGAATGTGTTTTGCTGCTGCAGATCCACCTTGAAGTTGTTCCTCATCTTACTGCCCACGATATTCGCTCTAAACTCTTCGTAGCAGCACCTCCTGGTTTAGTTTTAGTTTTGAAAATGCACCTAACCACTAGTTTATTCTATACTAAGACATAATACAAAAATTAAACAATAAAACATGCAGTGTGAGAGAAAAGTAACAATGTACTGTACAATGAAGAGGAAAGACAATATAACATGCTGAAAGTTGAGTATAACGTGCTATAAAGAATAATATAACATGCTGAGAAAATAACATAACAGACTATGAAAATAATATAACATGCTGTGAGATAAAATGCTGTAATATAAATTAAACCTGTACACCTGGTAGGTTCATTGCTTCTTTAAGTTTACCTATTATGCGCTGTGTAAAAGAGGAAAGTATAACCTGAAAAAGACTTACCAGAAACATGTAAATCGTAGGAAAAAGACAAACAAATAAAATAAAATACAATATCACATATAAATGACCAAAAATAGGAAATTTATATGTGATATTGGAATGTCCCAAATTGCCACAAGGATTTGAGTGTAAGGCAGAATCAAATCCCTGAGCGTTGGGTTTCAGTTTTGGTCAAGTTAAGGTAAGAATTTCATTATTTAATCTAATTAAATCAGTCATGAATCACAATCTAGTGCACCATCATGCATAGTGTCCTAGTTATCTCATGAACTGGGGTAAGATGTCTGGAGATGTTTGGTCTTTTATGATCATTTGAAAATTAGGAGGATGAACTCTCTCAAGGTGTGCTCCTAAGATTTAGGAAGCCTACACTTTAGTTTACTAGAAGTGTCTTAAAGTGTCTAACTTCAATTAAGTGTCATTTCAACTAACCCCCAAACATCTTTAGATTAAGCTTAGCTCACCATCAGACTCCTAAAACCTAAGGGGTAAACTTATAGTTTTGGCAAAAGGGTTGTAAAACATGCTTCAAACCTAATTAGAACAATTGAATTTAAGTTTATTCAAAACTTAAGGGGCCTAAGTGCAGGTCTACTAATCTTTCAAATCCATGTCTTGCTATAAAGAGTAGTATAACATGTTGGGAAAATAACATAACAGACTATGAAAACAATATAACATGCTGTGAGATAAAATGCTGTAATATAAATTAAATCTGTACACCTGGTAGGTTCATTACTTCTTTAAGTTTAACTATTATGCGCTGTGTAAAAGAGGAAAGTATAACCTGAAAAAGACTTAGCAGAAACATGTAAATCGTAGGAAAAAGACAAACAAATAAAATAAAATACAATATCACATATAAAGGACCAAAAATAGGAAATTTATATGTGATATTGGAATGTCCCCAATTGCCACAAGGATTTGAGTGTAAGGCATAATCAAATCCCGGAGCGTTGGGTTTCAGTTTTGGTCAAGTTAAGGTAAGAATTTCATTATTTGATCTAATTAAATCAGTCATGAATCGCAATCTAGTGCACCATCATGCCTAGTGTCCTACCTAGATATCTCATGAACTGGGGTCAGATGTCTGTCTTCTTCGGATCATTTGAAAATTAGGAGGATGAACTCTCTCAAGGTGTGCTCTTAAGATTTAGGAAGCCTATACTTTAGTTTACTTGAAGTGTCTTAAAGTGTCTAACTTCAATTAAGTGTCATTTCAACTAACCCCCAAACATCTTTAGATTAAGCTTAGCTCACCATCAGACTCCTAAAACCTAAGGGGTAAACCTATAGTTTTGGCAAAAGGGTTGTAAAGCATGCTTCAAACCTAATTAGAACAATTGAATTTAAGTTTATTCAAAACTTAAGGGGCCTAAGTGCGGGTCTACTAATCTTTCAAATCTTTCAAATCCATGTCTCTAATTGTTACCTAAACTCTCACTTTCTTCCAACCCCTAAATATTCTTCCAATTTACAGTTTCATTTTTCATATGCAAAAGGAATGGTAGATGGTTCGCTATTCTATCCCTCTTTAGGTTTCATCATCTCGAGAATCCAAATTCTATTTTTAATTCTCTCTCCATTTCTCTTTACTTCATATTTTTTTTAAGATTATGACTCATTTCTGAATATAATTAAATCGGAAATTCCCATTTTTAACTGACCGTTAAAAAAAAAATAAATGAAAAGGAGACCGATCCATTTTTAAAATAAAGTTGAATCAATAAAGCTTAAAACGAAATCATGAATATATCGGTCTAAA